GTATGTATTTAGTACATGGTCTACAGGGCCTACAGGGTTTCACTATGTAGACCAGACTACTAGTGATTCTCCTGTTTTCAGCCTCCCAAGCACTGGGATTACAGGTGCGGGCCACTACACCCAGTCTCAATCCACAGCTCAGCATGCCCAGGGGTGGGACTGGCATGGCATGTGCAGGATCAAACCCCAGCCTCTGCACTTTACCTCAGCAGGTGCTTTAGTTCACTGAGCTATCTGGCCAGCTCAGTTGTCTTCATTTTGGCTGAGGGTGACCCTATTTCCTTATATTGGCATGTACAGGTCTGACTAGGACTTTCCCTTCTTCCTTCAATTGGCTTTAAACAATGCATATCAGTCCCTCCGAGGAAGGTGCTGGGTGTGGTCTTTGAAGACGGCAGGTGTGCTTCCCTGAACCCCCATTGTTCCCTTGTGTGAGTCAGGACAGGGTGGAATGAAAAACCAATGCTCCACGCTGTCACTAGGATTGAGCCTTGAGATAAAAGCTATGACTTTTTGGGGCTTACAAGATTACATGTAAAAGCTAAACAGGACCCCAAAACATTGGATACTATCTCAGCTGTACGAGGAATGCAGATTACTCTTTCTGCGTATCCTTCTTTCTGCATATTGCCCAGGTGATTTCAGGCCTCCTGCCTAGCCCTGCCCAAGGCACTCACCTACTTCCTGCCAGTTTCAGAGTCACTCATCCCCAAATCACTCCCTTCTTCACAAATGAATTAAATCTGAGTTTTCTGTCCTGGGAAAAAGCCTTAGTCCCCAGTAGCCATCATTGTGTCTGGACTCCGTACCCTTTGGATTCGTTAGCACTTTGGATATGTTACTGTGTCATTATTTTACACTGTGGTTTGCACTGGAGGTGGTCGATTGGAATTAATCTATTGCAATTCTAGTAACTTTTCCATGGGATAACAAATATAAACTTCCTGGGCCAAGCTGAGGACTGGGAAGGATTCTCTATGTTGGGCTCTCTATAATGGTGGTGGTACGCATGTGTGATCCCAGCTACCCAGGAGGCTAAGGCAAGTTCAAAGCCAGCTTGAGCATCTTAGTGAGACCATCTCACAATAAATGATTTTTTTAAATGTAAATGTCTGATGATGTAACTCAATGGTAGAGCTCCCCTGGGTTGGATGCCCAGTACAAATATAAATAAATAAATAAGTTGAGAATACAGATCAGTGCTCTCTGAATTGAATTCCTGGTGTAACAACAGCAAATTACTTCTCAGTAGAATACTTTCTAACAGGTAAAACGTGGATAGACAGGTACAACATATATTGTAGATATTGGATCTAAAGTAGATAGAGCAAATAAAGAGGAAGAAGTTAAAGGTGAAGTGCTATTTTTCTCCTGGGTGAGACATCGATTCCCAGTAATAGGTAAAATTTTTCTTTCAACAATACAACAAGGATTTCTCATCATTTCCAGGTGTGGATCAGAGTCTCCACATCGTGTAGAGGTCATTAGAGACTGTTACCTGGGCTTCATGGTATGGAGGATCCATTGGTAATATTTGTATTGATATTGACTTTAGCCGAAGTGGCCTCTGTAAAGTTGCTCCCTAACCTCCTCTTCACTTCAGGCCCCACATTTTGCTTGATTTCTTCTTCTTCTTCTTCTTCTTCTTCTTCTTCTTCTTCTTCTTCTTCTTCTTCTTCTTCTTCTTCTTTAATGTATTTTAGTACAGGATCTACAGGGTCTCACTATACAGATTGGACTCATAGTGAACCTTCTGTTTTCAGCCTCCCAAGTTCTGGGATTACAGGCATGCACCACCATGCCCAGTCTCAATTACAGTCTCAGAGTGTCCCGGGGATGCAGCCGGCACAGCACGCCAGGGATCAAACCCCAGTCGCTGAGCCTGCCTAAGCAGGCACTTTAGTTCACTGAGTTATCCGGCAGGCCCTTGATTTCCTTTTTGATTAAGGGAGGCATGAAGGCCATAGCTAGCTCCTGACCATCGCAGGTCAGGCTGCAAATTGCTGCTGAACATCTGTGTGGAAGGATCGTTGCCCCAAAGACTTGGAAGGTCACACTGCCCATTGCTTCTCCAGTAAACAAGGAGTCCTGAGAAATGCAAAGCACTGGAAGCTGACAATTTCAAGTTTAAATCCTAGTCCTTCAGCTGCCACTTCTCATATCCATCAAAGTCTGCTGTTAGGTACCACTGGCTGCACAAACTCATCACTGCCCTGAGTATCCATGGAAGTCCTAAGTATTCTTGGAAGCTCTGCCACATCATGCTGTGCTTCTGTATTACAACTCAACATGGTGTGGGTAGTTGGATAGGGATATATCTGTTTTATATTGATATAGGGGAAAGAACCTCCTAACCCAAGAGATATCTGGGATGTTTGTGTTCTCTAAAATTGAAGAATGAATTTTGGGAACAAACACATGTTAAAAGCAAAATATATTTAAGGGAATGAAGGCTTCTGGCTGACAGAGAGGGACCGAAGGGGACCCAAGTGGGTTGCCAACAAACCAGCTTTTCTAGGGATTTTTATAGAGCAAATTCATCAAGTGAGGTGGGTCCAGGGTGGGAAATGCGGAACTCGAAAGGTGGGCAAACTATGGTCAACCAAAAAGTTTACAAGCATAATTGCTCAGGTAAAATGGGTTAAATCAGGACCCTGGGGAAGCCAGTCACAGAGCAAGTGAGCATGAACCCAAAACAGGAGCTTTTTCAGTAGGGGGTTGGGCTAGAGACTCTTCCTAGCTTTCCAAGGTGATATTTATTTATTTATTTATTTATTTATTTGCATACTGGGGATTGAACTCATTGATACCTACTTAGAATGACAATCTGTGAAGTCCATCTTTGGGGAGGTAGGTGGGCACATTTGTTTAATCTTTTGTCTTCCGTTCTGGCCCCAGGGGAGGGGCCTCTCACAGCTGCAAGGTGCCTGGTCTTCTATGCTGCCCCTTCAAGGGCATAGTCCTGTCTGACTGCCTCTAAAATTTCTATCTAACTCAACTGCCTACAATAATAACTTTTTTCCTAGATTTTTATTTTTTATTTGTATTT